CCAGCAAAAAGTTTATTGTCTGATACAGTGCCAGAAAATGAGCCCCTCAAGTTGAAAGGCAACTTGATAACTTAATAAAGAATTGCCTCCTCAAGGAACAGTCAATCTTAATCATGTGAATGAAGTAATGTTTTCAGGATTTTCATTTATTGTTGCTGCATAAATAAAAATGAGAAGAATTAATTACTGGAACATGGGACATATGAAGTATGAATCTTAGAAAACTGAAGTTGTAAAAATAAAATGGAATGTATAAAGACCAATATCCTAGGCACTGTTGTTGTTATGTGCTGGCAAGCTGGACTTGACTCATAGCAAACCCTCCTTGGGTTTCCAAGGCAGTATGACTATGGCAGTAGATTGCCCAACCATCCTTCTGAGGAGTGGCTGGTAGGTTTGAACCGCCAGTTCTTGTGAGCAGTCAAGTACCTTAAGCACTATACTACCAGAGCTCATAGGCATTAGTGAGATTAAATGTTTTGTTGTTGGCCATTCTCATTTGGGACAATCATATGATCTACTGACAGGAATGACAAATTGAAGAGGAATGGTGTTGTATTCATTATCAAAAAGAGTTTCAAGATCCTGAAGCACAATGCTGTCAGTGATAGAATAACATCCATATATCTACAAGGAAGACTGGTTAATATGTGTATTACTTAAATTTAACTGAAGATGAAGAGGTTGAAGATTTTTACCAACTTCTGCAGTCTGAAATCAACCAAATATGCAACCAAGGCATACTGATACTGATAGATGACTGGAATAATAAAGTTGGAAATAAAGTAGCATTGGCAGTTGGAAAATATGGCCTAGAATGACTTAATCATTAGAAATACATTTTTCAACAACATAAACTATACACATGAAGGTCCCCAGATGGAAATTACAGGAATCAAAGTGACTATGTCTGTGGAAAAAGAGATGATTGAGAAGGTCAGTATCATCAGTCAGAACAAAGCAAAATGCTGACTGTGGAACATTGCTAATAAGCAAGTTGAAGCTGAAGATGAAGAAAATAAAATCCAGATGACCAAAATAAAACCTTGAATTTAGAGGCCATCTGAAAACCAAATATGAACACAATTGACTGAAGACCAGAGTTGTAGGATGACATCAAGGACATCATACACAAAAACTGCAAAAAGTCATTAAAAAGACTGGAAAAGAAAAAAAGACCAAAGTGGAAGTCAAAAGAGAGTTTGAAACTGGTGCATTGAAGGATTTCAAAGGGTGGCTTAAGAAGACAAAGTATAGTATTATGTTATGTGCAAAGACCTGGAGTTAGAAAATCACAAGGGAAGAACATGCTTGCCATTTTTGAAGATGAAAGAACAGAAGTAAAGAAATTCAAGCCTTGAGTTGTAGTATTGGAGCTCTGGTAGCATAGTGGCTAAAGCACTTGACTGCTAACCAGAAGGCTGGCGGTTCAAACCCAC